TAGTCCAACTTTGAGCTAACAATTTGGGATCACATGATTGACACCACTGGTAATTAGTATTATATCTTGCACAAACAAAACAGGTTCCATATTCTTTTTTTCTTTCTTTAAACCCCTTAGTGTTATCTTATTATTCATTATAAAAAATTAAAAACAAGGTAGAATTAATTTTCAATATAATAAAAATAGACATCCATTAAAAAAGATAAATTTATAAAAAAAACACCCAAAGAGGCACAAACCTCCCAACTCGGAAGATCCGTCCGGGTTATAAATTTATTAAGTGCAAAAATTCCTTCTCTAAATAATTTTTTCCGATCATCGTTGTATTTATCCAGGTCAGGATTACCTGGGTCACCTGAAACTTCGAGTATGAATATGGGAATTTGTTTAGGCCTTTTGAACAATTCAGCAATCCCATCAGCTTTATAGTCGATATTTTGTGAATCATTTTTCGTGGGAATTGTACGTTCGCATGAAAAAAACTTTACAGAAGAAATATAACTAAAAGCTATAAAAAACATGTACGACAGTACATGTGCTGTCCATGATCTTTCTGTAGTGTTATCGGTAATTCCTTCCATCTTTGTAATTGCGCTTAAATGGCTTGCTATACTTTTAATGATATAAATTTCTGGATATAATAATTCATTATATTGTTTTAGTGGGATAGGAAGAGCATGGGATAGATATTGAAATTTTGCTATTGGCCCGTCCAAATTGCTGACTTCTTTTTTCATCTCCGAAATAATTTCATCTTTGATCTCTTCACTATCTGAATAATCTTCACTATTCTGATCAAACAATGATAAATATTGATGCGACTTTTTACTTAAATATTTGTCCTCACTTTCCGAAGAAAGTCTATCATGTAGTAATTTCAATTCTTCTGCATCCAAAAGATTATGCACCTCATTTAATATTTCTTGATTTTTCATATCGATTACATAATAATTTGAACTTGCTTCACGGGTTTTCCATATATTCTTGAGCTTATTATAATATCCGGGGAATTCAACATTTCTGAATGTATTAGTGGTTTCGGCAATTGAATGTAAAATATTTTTTTGAATAACAGTTTCTTCAACCAATTCTTCTTCGTTTTCATCAGTTTTGGTCTGTATATACAAATATTCAAGCAAAAAATTTAAAATAATGTTTTTGTATTATATATAAGTTACAATCTGTACCAACCTTCTTGTTCCCCTGAGAAGAAGTTGAGTTAGAACCATCAAGAGTGTGTTTGGATTCAGGTGTCGTATTAACAGGAAAAGAATTTGAAAATTCTTCTGAGGATAAATCTTCAATATTATATTTCCCGGCTTTATCTAGGAGGTCGAGACTTTCAAGAATATGGGTGCGTTTCACATTCAACTAATTACATATTGGTCTAGATTTGTAGTATCTTAATAGGTTTAATAAAAGAAAAACAATGATATTTAAAGCCTGATGTACCTTTTTCTGTTCATGGATAACATTCTCCCAATAGGTCTTTAATTCATGTTTTGAACGTTCAGAATCCACCTATTATATAATGAAATATTAAATTTGGTAATAATAAAAAGTTAACCATAAAACAACTGATTCTAGTTGATAGTAAATAGAAACTTCAAATAAAAAAATACAGATTCGCAATGGTAAGGCTCAGGACGTTGACTGATACTCTTGAATCAGGGCGTTGGCTGACCAGAGGTGCCACTACCATCACTTGGGCCAGGACGTTGACTGATACTCCTGAGTCAGGACGTTGGCTGACAGGAGCTCCCTTGGTTAAATAAAAGAAAATAATACCTTGACCTTTAAAGTTTCAAAGTCTTTTGAATCAAGCATCATTTCTGCGTTTTTTAGAAATCTACGAGTCCATGTACCATCTAGGCCATTCCAATCTGTATTTAATGGTGTAGATATAATGACATCACGGTTAAGTGTCAAAAACTCATAGTACGACCAATTTATGTGCTCACGTTCATCAAGATAAGAGAGAAGAGCTACAGATTAAGAGAAAGCTAAAAGGTCAGTGAAAAATATTCAGATCCCGAGTCAAAGTCATATAAGCTTACCAAGGTAGCCAGGGTAATGTTCTGTTGAAGACATGTTTGCAAATTTAAGTCTATTTTTTGAAATTTAAGTAGAGTGTAATGATACGCGAATACGTGAACGCGTAGCGGTAGTACTAATTTTTCTTATTTGGGGGGTTTTCTAGCAAAAGGTAGCTTAAGTCATATTACAGTCAGGGATATTTCCATAAATGGAAATACTAAATACCGTAATGATCGATTGTATGAAAAATTCTAGAAGAAATTCTGATTGGCTAAATTCAACCAGGGATAGTACCCTGTAATGATCGACATTATGAAAAGAAATTCTAATTGGCTAAATTCTGTGCAGATCTTTTCATTGAATAAAAAATAATAATCTTTAAAAGAAAAGAAAAACAAGAAAAACATGGCAAGAGCTTTTATTAAATAGTCATATAACTTCCAAAATTATACAATATCTGTATTTCCAATTTATCCAGGATTAAGAACTAATGTAGCATAATATTATAATTTTATTCCCTGAAAGTGTTATTATATAAATAATTTATCAAGCCGCAATTCATCAGAATAATGTGGATTTAAATAAATAGTATCTTGATAGAATATCATTGGGAAATATGAATTTCCTTACCAAATTCTATGGATATTCATATATCATTTTTAAAATATAAATAAGATAAATAAGGATACATGAATTTCAAAGTCCATACTTGATACAGTAAAAATAAATAATGATTCTAATAGTTTTAATATTTTGAAACTAAATAGCCGCCATTGTAAATAATATAAAATAATTCATTTGATGCTTACATTTCCATACCAAACTAGTGCTTTACATTGCAAAGGAAGTTACGAACAGGTGTTGCAATCATTTTTATATGTCACAAAAGTTGTTGCAACCATCATCAAAGGTTGCAGCCAGTATCCTTTAAACTACTTTTAAATAAAGCCTAGATAAAAGTATATAAATTAAGTAAACATTGTTGTTAATAAATTAATTTACATGAATAAGTAAGTATAATAATGATAATTCTGAATACATCTAGTAATAAGATTTGTATATCCAACTAATTCTGGTGCTGATGCATATTTCCATTGTCAAATGGCAATCTCTTCATACAAACATAGTGGTCTAATTGCTTACTGTTACTAACTGTTAACAAATTAAAAAGAGATTTTAAGCAGATATTCTTCTATATGTAAGAAAAAAACTAGTATGTAAAGTTGCATGGATCCCAGTGGATTCTTAAAAGATATATTCAGAAGAATTTATTTCAGTTGTTATTATTAGAATTTTTTTTAAAAAAACTTTTTTTCACAAGCACAACATGTCACGTTAAATCGTTTGTAACATATATGAATTGATCAACAAATTTTTCTAGAATTGATTTCCAAATTTGGTAAAATCCCTGGCTGTACTAAGTTAATTATTAAGCTGCAGCTTTCCGGGAAGCCTTATGGACATGAAACACCATATGATCAATATTAATTTATTTAATGTTGTATTTAATTTATTTAATTAACTTTGTACTTTTAACATTTCATGTAAAATACTTATAAATAGACAAGTCTTCCTAAGTTTAATAAATTAACTAAGAATTAATATAATAATAACTCTTGTTCGTTTACACTTGTTCACACTATTGAAGTTATTTTGGATTGAATAGCTTGTTTCGTTTTTTTGTTTTATTACAGAAGACTACATTGTGCATTAATTCTAAGATAAAAAATCTGTTTTAATGTTTTATGGTGCGAATCATCTAAAGACATTACGTGCTGCGCCACTTGCCAAAAATTTTTATGCCGATCTTGCTTTATAAAGAGCTCTATATGTATATTTTATTGATATATAAATCCAGATTTGTAAATGAACTGCGACTTTGTCACATGAATAGTTATTAAATCATGAAAAAAATCAGTAAATTACAGTTTAGATATATAGTTGCCGAAATTTCAAATAACATAGTAAAGTTACCAACTTTAACCCATTATAACTTTTTCTCCTACTAAATAACTCAAAAAAACTTTCTATTACATTATTTTTCATGTCCAGAAGATTGCAAAAATAGAGATTTTTTGGTAAAATAACCCATATTTAGTAAAGTATCAGCATTTAAGATTGGCAACATTTTGTGATGTCTTTAGATGATTGGCACTATAGTATAATCAACAATTTTCTTCAATTGTTTTTTTTAGAAATATCAATAATTCTCTACAAATAAAATGATCATTATTTATTTGTTTATATGTTTCAGTTGATCAATAAATCTCAGGTCTCAAGATAATTTATCTTATCCATTTTTAGTAATAATAAATAACTTAAATCTAACATAATTATTTTTCATGGAACCAATTTGAAGATTTTTATTTTCTTTTTTATATTTATTTGCAGATCACTCAAATTTAATTCTTTTGCTCATCATCACAGGACCAATTTTAGAATCTCTTCAATTTTAAAATAAATGAATACCTACAAAGTGAACATATATATATAGGGATAATTGTATATGAAAAGTATTAACAAAGATAACAAATACAATGGTTCTAATGAATATCAAAAAGCCATTGATTTTTTAAAAAAAGGATGTAATTGTGGTTGCTCTTCAAGAACTCCTGAGGAACAATTTGCAGAATTAAGAGAATCCTTTCAAGCTCTTTCCAAGTCTGAACAAGACATATTTTTAATGGCCCAACTTAAAGCGATGGATGGTGGATCAATAAGCACTAGTAGACGCCTTAAAAAGAAAACCAGATCAAATAAAAGAACTTTCTATCATTGGGATCACAATACACCTCTTTGTCAAGAAACTTATCTCAATATGTTAGGAATTGGTAG